CCTCCTCCTCCTCCTCCTCCTCCTCCTCCTCCTCCTCCTCCTCCTCCACGTGACCAAGCGGCGTGCGCCTCGGACAGACACCGCAACGCGGTAGACCTGGTGACAAAGGCTCGGGCGCATCCGGAGTCCCGCCGGCCTCCCGCGCTCAGCGTCGGCGGAGCCTGCGCAGGGCGGTGCCGCGCAGCGCGGGCCGCGGGAGCGGGAGCCGCAGCCGGGAGCGCGCCGCGGAGCCGAGCAGAGCCCGCCGCGCGCAGCGCCGGGCAGCGGAGGAGAGCCGAGGAGCCGAGCAGCGCCCGCCGCGCAGCCGAGGAGCGGAGGGGAGGCCGAGGAGAAGCCGAGCAGAACCCGCCGCACGCCGGGGAGCGGCTCCACGGAGCAGAGCCTGCCGCCCGCCAGTCCGTCCGCCCGCGCCCTGCTGCTTCCAGCGCCGCCGCCGCCCCGGAGCCCCGCAGCGACTCGGACACGGGTGAGCAGGCCGCGGTCCGTGAGCTCGGCCCCGGCAACCGGGCCCCGAGCGCCTTCCCCGCTCGTACTTACACCACGGCTCGGGAGATCATCCAGGACACCATCTTTTCGGCCGCTGGGCCGCTGACCGCAGGCCTCGCGCTCCCTGCTCGCGCTCCCCGGGGCCGCGCTGGCGCCCTCGGGAGCCGGCCCGGTGTGTGCGCGCGGTGCCCGGAGCCGCCCGGAGCCCGGTCCCCCGCCCGTCCGCCCCCGCCCGCGGCCCCGCCGGCCCTGCCGGCCCCGCCCCTGCGCTCCGCTGATAGGCGGCGGCTCCGGGACCCCGGCGGGCGCTGCGCTCCACCGACCTGCGCGGTCACCTCGCTTCCCCGGGCCGGGGGACGCCGGGCGGGCGGTGAGAGCGCGTGGGAGTCGAGGCCGGGGGCGGGGGAGCCGGGATTGTGGAGTGTCTAGCTAGGTGCGGCTCCGGTGCTCACCGAGGCTTGGTAGCCAGGGCCTACCACAAGGCCTGGGTTGGCACCGCGAGGCTCGTGGTGCAATGCGGGGGCCAAGGGAAAGCGTCGGGGGGTCACGTTTTGTGGTGATGGGCTTGCGAGGATGGCGAGGCTGCTCCGGGCTTCCTGGAGCACCTTTTCCATCAGCCAACTCCTGTATTGCCTGCCACAGAGCCTAAAATGTGGACCCAGGATTTCTGATCCGTGGTGCCGTTTACAAGTCCTTATTTTTTTTTTTCCCGTCGTGTGTGTGTTTGTGTGTGTCTTACCTCTTAACATTGTCCAAAATTTTAAGCTCGTAATTTTTTGGGCGAGAAGTACCGAGTTGGGAAAAATGACCTTTAAGTTACTGTAGGTGTTTTCCTCTTGGTCCCCTGGTGGAAGCAATAGTAAAAGTTCTCTCAGCTAGGAAGAATAATGTTTGTAATGTGGGGCTTGGAGCCTTTAATTAAAGTCCTAGAAAATATGATGGCTCATTTTGGGACATACTGTAATTTAATCTTTTTGTTCCCCAGTTTCCCCATAATAAAAAGAGGCTAATAATACTCTTGCTTACCTCCTGCTTTTCAAGGATGATGTAAGGTATTGTTAATTAATGTGTCTAAGAAGGGCCCAGATTTGCCTGGGATGGTAGGGGGCAGGGGAGAGGGGATAGGTTACCATGAGTTCCTTTCAGTTCACGAGGCCTATAAATTAAGAATTTTGGTCTTGAGAGAAAGCAGCAGACGAGGCATGTTGGTGATCTCTTGTGATCCCAGCCCTTTGGAGGAAGCTGAGGCCTGCCGGATTTCCTTCCATAAAACCAGGAAGCAAAGACCTCAAGCTTTACATTAAGAATGTGTGTTTTTTATTTCAGTGGTTGCAGTGATAGTTTGTTCCGAATTACTTAGTCTGACCATTATTCAGCGTTGTGTTTGTCATCTAAGCCCCGGTTTTTCTTGGCACGTGTCTTCCATGTCCTTTCATGCCCTTCCATGAGAAGAGAGAGGTCCTGAAGTGTCTTTATATTGCAGCCTTACGTTCCTCACCCTTAACATAAACCTTTCCTCTCCTATCTTTCCTGAGCCAAGCTGTGTATTCATGCCTTTGACTGAATTTCATCATTTTCTTGAATGCTTTATTTCCCATTCTCGATCTTTCTCACCTCATAATTCCCTCCCTCCCCTGACAATTACATATATTCATAACTTATCCCTTAACTTTCTGGACTCCTCTCACTCTTGGTCCTTCAGTCTCTTCTTCCTTTTTTTGCAGTGATGGTTCTTGTTAATTGTTTGCAGGACACAGCCCCCTTGTTCCTATTTCAAAAAGCCATGGGCTGTAAACCACCTACCCAGTGTTGCTACAGTGTTGTTGAGTCATCCTGACGCCCCAGACAGCCCTGGACTGTTGATTCTCCTTGGTACCATGGAAACGAAGGTTTAGAGAACTTAACTCTTTGGCCAGTGATCACATAGTTCATAGGTAATAGAGCCAAACTCCAATACTGATTCATACCTGAATTGGGTGGCAGTTAGTTGGTCCAGAGGGATTGCTCTCTAGGGGAAAATTAGCAAGCTTTTTTTTTTTTTCTTTTCTTAGTAGTTGTAATTGGCATTAACCAGTAGCAGGTGATGATGGGCCTAGGGACGCTGTAGTCTTTGCTGTGTGTGTGTGACATCCTTAACAAAGACTGTTCCTGTGTTCTTCTTGGCTTAGGAATATCATGCTTGACATTCCTGTAATATTTGCAATTATCTGAGCCTGAAATTTCCACTTTATAAAGCCATAGCTTTAACCAAGACTGAAGTTTCCTGTCTCTGTTTCTGCACACCCCTGTCGTGTGAAGGTTGTGTTCACAACTTGATTAGAACTTGTGGATGGTTCTGTTACATCGTGTCATACGCAGGTTTGCAATGTAGTCAGGTCCAGTTACTAAGCGTTTTGACCCAGCATTCGTCTGCTGACAGGCCTTTTTATAACTTATTTTTATTTCCCCTTTCCACTTCTATCTAGATAGATGGATTTGTTTGGAATTGCCTGTACGAGGAACGTGTTACTGAGGGGGGGGCCACATGGAAGCCGATATGGCTGAGAACCATTGACCTAAAGAAGAGGCTCCTAGGAGGAGCCTCTTGTGGAGAGTTCTTCACTTTTAGAGGTGGCTGCTTGCTGTTTGTTACTGGACCTCAGATACTTGAGATCTGCTGATGGATGACTGAGATACACGCTTCAGTGTTGAAGATGAGGCTTTAGTCCTGTGTGAGAAAAGGGAGTATGGCACCTTCAGCCCAGCTGCGTGCATGCTTGCTTGCATGCATGCATGCATGCACCAGTTGAAGGCCAGAGAGTGTCAGGTATCCTATGCTTTGTTACTCTCTGTCTTATCCCTTTGAGGTAGGTTCCCTCTGACCTTGGAGAATTAATGTTTTCAGCTAGCCTGGTACCCTGCAAACCCAGCTGATTTCTGCTCCCCTCACCCCACGCACTGGGGTTATTATAAGAACACAGGTAACCAAGTCTGGGTTATGGGTCTGGGCAATGGTGTGGGTGAGTGGAGTGTGGGGGGTTGCTGGGGTTGGAACTCTGGCCTTCATGGTTTAGCAGCAAGCACCTTTAACCACTGAGCCTACCTACCCCAACTCTGAGTAGCTTTTTTAATGTGGTCTCACTAGGCGTGCTTGCTACCATTCCACAGAGAGGCTAGGAAAATATTTAAAGCTTTGTTGTTGTTGTTTTTTTTTTAAAACATTTCAGCACTGTCTGTATGTTGTGTGTGGAGTGCATCCTTCCTGGTGCAGGTGCCTGGATACTGAGCTCAGTCTTGGTGGGGGGGGGGAGCAGTTATATGTAGGCCGGAGGACATTTTCTCTGGAGACCTCTTTCTCTTACTAGTAATGAGATGAATGGTGAGTCCCTGTTAGTTTTGCTTTGAATGGATATGTTAATGGGTGGTGATCAAATGTAAAGGGCTTTAAGACTCATTTAAAAGTCTCGCTCTCACTACCACATCCTCCCGGCCTCCTAGGAGGTAGTGGAATGTACGTCTTTCTGCATGTTAAAGGAGCTCACTTATTAGCAAATCAACAGAGAGTAGGAAAGTACGGGAGGCAGCGAGAGAGAGCCCTGGGTGCGGAGCAGAATTACAGGGTACAGAGACAGTATCTCGAGTCTCGTAATTATTAATGAGTATGCTGATGAGACCGAATACTGGGTCACCTTCCCATTTCTCATAGGGAAGTATTTTTAAATAATTGAAAATACTTTCATCTGTAAAAAGGCTGAAATTACCAAATTACCTTAATAGTTACTTAGAGAGTAGTGGTAGAGAGAGACTGACTCGGAAGA